GGGACTCTGTGGGACCGCTGGAAACGTTTGGGGCAAGGGCTCTGGGGGTGGAGGGGCGGGACGTCGGGAGGACCGGCGCATTGTGCGCCTACGGCTCTTCGGAGGGCGAGGGACCTGGCAGGGAGGAAACCACAAATCCTCGTCTTCGTCCGACTCGCCCTCCTGATCACAAAAGGGGAATGGGAACTTGGGCCTGTTCATGAGGCGGAGAGCCCAACGCTGGGCTTCTCTCTTCTCTGCCTCACCCAAGAGGACAGGTTGAGCCTGAGGGAAAACGCCTGGCTTTATTGGTTGGCGGGTGCCTGTAAATTGGTCCTCCAACTTACCAGAACGCCACCTCCGAGTCTGTGCTGGATCCATATTTTAGCCAGATAATTCTGTCATGAATTGGGGTGGATCGGACAAGCACAGACTCAGAACAAAGGTTTTTAAAATGTTTAAAAGTTTTATTTTAAAAAAAATGGCGGCGTCTGGCAGGAGGTTCTGGTTTTGGTACTGGTACCGGACCGCTCTGTCTCTGGAACCAGTCCGAGATGTGGGCCAGGTGGGTCCCGGTACCGGTCCGAACCTCAGGAGCCGGTAACATGCGCAAGGGTGCATAGAGCAGCAGCTCGCAGCGTGAGCAAGAACAAGCAGTGAGGCTGGATGGGCGAGCTGTGATGCTGAGGGGTTTGGGCAGAAGAACTTTATCCAGGGACAGGCAAGGGTCAAAACCAGAGAAGAATCCAGTCCGGGGGGCAAAAGCGAGAGCGAAAGGTCATGGGCGAAGCTATGGTCGAGAACTATGATACGAAGAGGGAACGCTAGATATCTATGGAAAGAATCTATAATTATCTGGCACCGACTGAGGAGAAACAGGGAGCTTAAATAGTGAACTGAACAGGTGTTGCTCATGAACGTAGATTGCTGTAGAAGGTGGAGAGGGCGTGGCAAAGGGTGACAGGAGCTGAATGAATGAGAGGGGAACTCAAAATTAATGCAGGAAAAAACGTGAATGATCTAAAAACAGGGGCTGTGGTATGAGGAGCAGAGGCTTAAACAGATGGGGGGGGGGGGGGGGGCAGCTGGGGCCGCTGAGCGTGACAATAATATTCAAAAACAGATCGTTATTTGATCAGAAATGGGTATTATTCAAGTTAATCAGCTATTTAATAACACAGGTCTTCTTTATAGCTATGAAGAGTTTCTTACTCAGTACAAGGTTCCTGTCACTCCAAGAGAATATAGTATTGTCTTTGATGCTATTCCATCTGGTTTGCTCGTGTTGTTTAAAGATGTTGACTTCTCTTCTATCCAGTCTGAGTCCTCCTGACCCCGAGCAGTCTGATGTTGGTACGTTCTGTTTCTCAACTCAACTAAAAGGTGTCAATTCCAAAATCTGTTCTTAATTTCAAGAAAATCTGGTTTCATCTCAATCTTGTGTTTCCTACTGGAACACCTTTGTGCAGAATCTTAATTGTAATTAATATGTCTATATTCTGATATACCTCATTTTGTATTTTGCTTTGTGTGTTACCTGTTGTTTTGTCTGTACAGCACTTTGGTTGGCTTTGTAGCTGTTTTAAGTGCTTTATAAATAAAGTGGTATGGTATGGTATGGTATGGTATGGCATAGAATCTTAATTGGAAAAAAGTTTGGTCTCTCCCGCAAAATTTTTTTCCTCACTAATAAAGTCAAAGAAGTTTCTTTTAAATTAATTCATAAATTTTACCCAACCAAACACTTTCTTCAGAAATACAAAGCTGATAATGATATTTCATGTTCATTCTGTAAGCTTTATCCAGAAATATCTGTTCATCTTTTTTGTAAGTGTACATACTCTCAGAACTTTTGGAAGGACATTGTTGCTCTGATATCCAATAATATCCAACCTGGTTTCCTTCTTTTGAAAATGTTCTGTTTAGTATCCTAGATTTCAAGACGAAAGACTCCTCCAACGTATTTATTATCAACCTGATCTTGTTTCTTGCTAAGTTCCATATCCATAAAAGTAAAGTAATACACATGAAACCTTTTTTTTTTTATCTTTGTAATGGATGTAAAACTGTATCTTGACACAATCTCAGACTCAAATAACAAAAAGGCTATAAAAACAAAAAAGTATCTGTAATGAATACAACTTAACTTTGTAACTCGCATTTATTTGTCTTTGTATTTTTTTTATATTTATTTTGCTTATTTTATTATTGTTTGCTTCCTTTTTTTGATATGTTCAATGTTATTTAGTGTGTACTTTTTGGATTCTTGTATTTGAAGTGAAGTTCTAAGTAAAGATTTTTTTTTAAAAAGCTCTGAGCTGCAGCTAGCTGCATTAGCTCCATTTGCTGACACGCCCACTGGATTGATTGACAGGTCGCGTCAGACTCGTGGAAAAAAAAATCACGACAGATTTAGAAAAAACAAATGTCTCGTACAACTTTATTCTCGTAATTTTATGTTTTTGTTTTGTTTTTGTCTTAGCGTGCAATGTAATTTTTTTTAGCGTGGCCCTAAAGCTCCGTCGTGGGGAGACCGAGGGGGGACGAGGAGGAACCCACGCTTATGTCCAGTAGGTGGCGGTATGCATCTTTGAGTTGAGGCGATCCGCCATGAAAAGAAAGAAGAAGAAGTTCTTCCTTTCCTGTCGGCCATTTCGTCTAGGTGGTAAGAGTCTGCTAAGCTTATGAACATTTACATTTAAAATGATATTTTTAGTTTTCGCAGAGCCGCTTTATGTGGATGTTTGTTAAAGTTAGATGTTGTTGTGTTGTAGTAAGCCCCTGGATATGAGTAAAGTGTGAAACTGGCCGTAAATGTTCGGTTGTACCGAGTGAGCAGCCACATGGAGCGAACTGTCCGCCTGCTCTCAGCTCTTCAGCCTTAACGCTGTCTGAACTTTTACACATTTCTTTTTACCCTGTGTTGAGTTACATGGCTGACTTTAATGGGAACAGTTGGCTAAAGAGTCGTTGTGGTATAAAATGTTCCAGCTACATAGCTTCTGCTTGAGTTTGTATTTCTTCTTTTCTGATCGATTAGTTGTCGACCGGCTGCCCCTCCATCGAACATGCAGAACGACGCAGGAGAATTTGTGGACCTCTACGTCCCTCGCAAATGGTGAGTGCTAAAGGGATATTTCAAGCATTTTGATATTTCAAGCATTTTGATTTGGGCTTACGTAAAACAGACAAGTGAGTTAAATTAAATGAGTCCAACAGATTTAAAAAGTCCTTAACCAAGGGCTTCTCAGGACAGCACACGTGCAAATTAAAGTCCCCAATAATGAAAAGATGCTCATATTTTGGTGTGATTTCAGCCAAGAAGTCGGAAAACTCATTTATAAATACTTAGATCGAGGTGGGCGGTAGACGTCGGGGGGGGGTGTCCAGAGGTACGCTGATAATGGTCCAAAATAAGTGACTTTAGTGACAGAAAAACGAGATTCAAAAGTTGTCTGTCATACACCAGCAGAGAGTTGATGTCACAGATGTGAAATACAAAAAACAAAAATAATCCGAACACCATCAGCAGAGGTGGATTGCAAGCCATGTACACGGGCGCCATCTTACCGGAAGTCCTGTTGTGAAGTTGTGAAACACCTTCTCCACATGAAGAACTAGGTAAAGGCCTTCTACTCTGCTCCTGTTTCTTGGAACATCTTGTAAAAAGATCTGAAGCTCTCCACCTTGACCTCTCTAACATCTGATAAGCTCCTGCAGACATGGTCCTGTTTTTAGTTTCCTAAATCGCCTTATAACCAAGTTGGGTTTTTTTTTTTTTTTTGCTACTATTCTTCTTAATTGTCCTTTTGGTTGCTATTTTGTTTTTATCTGTATTAAAAAAGAGAAACAAATTTCTATGCCTATTTTATGACTGTATTGTTGTTGCTGTTGTCCACTGTTCTCATCACTCTTTGTCACACTTCACTTCCGGCGAGCTGATGGATAGCAGCTCCCTCTGGCTTCTCTGCAGTCTTTTATCATCAAACTGACCCGTTTTTCGAACCGGACTAAAGCTGGTCCTCCTTCCAACCAAATTCTGTGTTCAGTGACTCAGAGAGCCGGACGGGACCGTCCAAAAAAAATATTTTGGCCCAGGACCGATCGGCCGCTCCCCCCCATCGGTCACTCTGAGCGCACCCTGCCGGCCAGGTGACCCCTTGAGCTGGGGAGTCGACGCACGAAGGTCCGGTGTTTTTTCTCTCTCTCTCTCTCTGGACCTCAACGAACTCTTATCTGGTCCTTTGTGGTTCTACCTGGTTCCGACAAATATCGCCGGGTGGTATTTCGCTCGTTTTCAGCTGGACTGGCCCTCGTGGTGTCTCCATAGGTGTGGGGGAAGTGTACCTGTGTCCCTCGAATTGGACCAGAACCGAACTGAGGTGGCTGTGGGGGATTTCGTCTTCAACAGAGTGGGTCTCAGCTTCAGTGAGCAGCCCGTTACTTTCACTGAAGGACTGTCCACCTCCGTGGAGTTGTTGTGTTCACCTGGAGGAGACGCTCCGGTGCTTTAAAGCGCCGCCGGACCGGAGCAGAACCGCGCCGCCGGACTGGGCCGCCGGACCGGAGCAGAACCGCGTCGCCAGACTGGGCCACCGGAGCAGAACCGGGCCAGGGATATCTTCAGCCTCTTCGTCTCTCGTGCTTGGAGCGCCGGAGCCGAACTGGAGCAGAACCGGACCGGACCAGTTGCCGACTTCAGCCTCAGCCTCTCCGGTCAGTCTCGCTTTTCACCGGGGGTGCCCCGTGCTGTCGGGTGCTGAGAAGCGGAGGAGCAGCGTGAAGGAGAAGATCTGCGTGGTGCTCGAGTGAAGTTCGGAGTTTGTATCGGAGTTGCTCAGGCCTCCATCCAAACTCACCTGGATAATAATTAATTTTATTCCGGATCACGTTGTTGGCCCCTGTTGTCCTGAAACTAGCTTGGATCATGCCTTTCACTTAAGGAGGATTTTCTGGCAGCTCGTTCTGCTATTTGCTGCGAATTTTCTGTTTTGGCCTGTTGATTCTAGACCCAGCTTCTGTTTCCCATGGGAGCATCCATCCTTCTTCACTGGGGGGCCGGAGCCCCCCTCAGCCCAACTCAAACTGCAGTTGGGCCAACTCGTCGGGTTTGTTTGCCCATTTGAACTGTGACGTTTTATGGTCTGAAACTTTTCTGCATCATTCATATTACTGTCACTATTTTCAGTTCTCAGATTATCTGGAGTCACTGAATCTTGTTAATACACCTGAATCTGTCCATCACTGCAACTTTCACTGTTTTTGGGTTCTGAATGATCGCGTCTTCATCAACGTTTCTCATGGTTCGATTATGGGGGCTAATTGTCACACTGTTAACTCCTGTCATTACACATCAGTCACAAAAAACTTAAGAAAATGTCTAATAATGTTGTTACTGCTTTCAGGGATTCAGCCCAACCCTGGACCCCCCACTAATTACAGCACACCAAATGACTTTAAAAATGCCTCTGGGCTTCATTTTCTGCATGTAAACGCTCGTAGCCTTCTGAAAAAACTGGATGCTTTGAAAATCCTGGTCAGTTCTTCTGGGGCAGATGTTATCTTTATTTCTGAATCTTGGCTGAACAAATCTGTAATGAATAACATGGCAATCAATGGATTTAACATCTACTGCTGTGATCGTCAAAGAAGGGGGTGGAGTCATTATTTACATTAGAGATTCTCTGGTTTCTAGTCTTGTGACTTCCAAAACCATTCCAAACCAGTTTGAAGCCTTATCTGTAAATATCACCTTGAATGGAGGCCAGATTTTAACTGTAGTCTGCTGCTATCGCACCCCCCCCCCCCCCCCCCCACAGCTTCACCTGAGGCATTAACTACCATGAAGGAATTTCTTGGTAATTTAAAATTCAAAGAGATCTTTTTGGCTGGAGATCTCAACATTGATTGGTGTAAGTCGACCCCCCTCTGTGATAAATTCAAGGAATGTTGCTTTACTTTTAATCTTGCCCAACTTATCAATTCTCCCACTAGATTAAATATAAACCATCCTGAAAATTCCTCCATCTTAGACCTGTTTCTAACTAATATGCCTCACAAATTCCCTGGTACAGGTGTATTCGCTGATCTTTTGAGTGATCACTGTGTGACAGCGGCTTTGAGAGATATTAAACTTCCACCTTCTAAGCCCAGATTAATTCAAAAAAGGGATTTGAAACGTTTTTGTGAACAGTCATTCCTCTGGGATCTGTCTCACTTTGACTGGCATCGTATTCTGTTAACTGATGACGTGAACTCTGCTTGGAACTATTTCCATAATAATTTCATTTATTTCCTGAACATACATGCTCCTTTTCGTCAGTTCAGAATAAAGGGACGAGATAGCTCCTGGTTTACTCCAGAGCTAGCTGACCTCCTGCACAGGAGAGACCATCTTTGGGCTGCAGCGAGAAAATCTGACTCAGACACTGATTGGTTGAGTTTTCGACAGATGAGGAATAAATGCACAACTGCTGTCAAAGCAGCAAAACACAACTATTTCTTATCTCAGACCTCCAAAAATCTAAATGACCCTAACAGATTCTGGAAAACCATCAAATCTCTCTTAGGGCTGTTGTAATCGAGGAATCTATAGAATATTCTTGCGATTAATCGAGTAATCGAAAACAAAATTTGTCAGGTTCTGCAGTAATCACTCATTTAAATACACGAAAAAGAACATTAAGTAAATAATCCATTTAATTCCTCTTTTAAAAATATTTTATTTTAAAATGTAATTACATGTTGAACCTCCATTTCTCTGAAGTGTAGCAAAACTTCTTTATTTCTAAAATGTAAAAACACAGAAGTGAAAAAAGTACATTAACATGAAATAGAAAACAAATTAAAGCAACAACGGTAAACACTGCCCTTTATAAATTCAACTTGAAAGTCTGAGCTATAACAAAATCCACTTGTGCGTTTTCAAGGATCAAAGTTTCTATTGTCATTTACATATTTGGTGCACGTGGTGGAACAAAATTGTGTACACAGGGTAAGTTACATCCAACAAAAGTATAAAATGTAAAGAAAAACAATAATAAGATCTAAGATAACTAAGAAATACACTAAACTAAGAATACACTAATTACTAATAGTACCAAAACTGAACAGCAGCAGCACGAACATGAGTCTGTGTGAGCAGGTGAGTGGATGAATACAGGGTAAAATGAAAGATTTTATATTTCAAAGCCAACATATACTGAACGTATTCTTGCAAGTAGCATCAATATGCCTTTCTTAAATGTCTCAACATACAAGTGTGTATGTGTTTGACCGTTGCTCAAGTCTTTAAAGGAGTTGTGTTTTTCAGCTTGTCTGTGATTTCTTCATACTTTTTCTCCACCATTTTTATAAAGTAGGATCTGGAGGGAAGGACGTAATTTGTATTGAAGGTTGAGATCATTTTCTGGAAGTCTTCATCTTCCACCACAGACAGCGGCCTTATGTCCGTGATGATCATATTTAAAATGCTGTTGGTGAAGTCTGCTGCTTGCAGAACTGAACATCCTGGTGCCCTTTGCACAAACCTGTCCAATGTGTGACTCTGCGATTTACTGAAAAGAAGTACAATAAAATTATTATTTGTTTGTTCATAGCTATGCCTTAATACATTTTCAAGTGTACTTCATTGGATATTATAAAATTATGTAATATTGTTAAGTAATCTACACTTTGATGACCTGCTGCAATCAAAGTAACATTAGTGTCACTTGTATTTGATTTATGCATTTTAAGCTTTTATTCGTGTGTGAGGTTTGAGGATGCTTTAATTAAAACCCTCTGTCACTGAATTGTTTTTAACCATTAATCTAAATGGATAAAATTAAAATGTTTTTATTTGTGTGTTTTAAAATCTAAATGTTGTAAAATATTTTTTTTATGGATTGGAAAACTGAACAGAATCTTTATATGTTAGAAATTAAGTAAGATAGATAATGTAAAAGTTTGTACATTTGAGTTCTGCAGACTTAACTTGTAATTGTAAATGTTAAAAATACTTTGCTATTTTTTTATTAAGACTATTATTTGTCTTGATTGCTTAGCTATAAACAAATATGCCAACAGTAGTAATAAATGTAGATTACTCCCAGTTTTCAAGTCATAAAAAGCAGTAGC